GTTGAAGGGATAACACCCACCTATTTCAGCGTGAAGGTTTCTGTGGAGTGCTTCTCTAAATCCTCAGCTGCGTTCACCAATTGCCTGTACCTCCTGAGAGGATTCATTTATCACTTTGAAAGTGATCATGCTGTATGCTTCTTGCACTTTACTTGCTGTTCAGTGCTATCACACCAGTTGTGATGCTCAGTATTTCGACAGAAAAAAAGAAGCCATCTGGTCGGTTTGGGGTACGCTCGTCCGCTGAAGCACACTGTGTCAAATTAACAGAGATTGCAGTGCAATATGCTACTGCTGTAGTACAAGTCCTCAATATCATGGCTATGAAGTAGATAGGGAAACCCTAGTTACAAGAGCTGCCTATTACCACAATGGTGAACAGAAAAGAGAGTGTTGCTGTTACACTGCCTTTTTTTTTTTCTTCTTTCATTTCAGTAATGTCATAGTTTTTTTGTTTTTTTTTCCCTTTAGAAAAGATGTATAAAAAAAGAAGTTCTTGTCCCCTTCATGTTATCTCATTTTTCAAAGTTTTCCCTGTGAATTACTTTTCTTTCTATCCGTCCTTGTACCAGAAGTCTATAATTTTTTATTTATTTTTCCTTACAGGGTGGACTGGAGAGAAGGTGTGTCTGGCTGGTGACAGTGCAGGAGGCAATTTATGTGTGACGACATCGATGCGAGCTGCTGCTTTTGGTGTGCGAATGCCAGATGGCATCGTGGCAGCCTATCCAGCTACCCTGCTGACAGCCTACGCATCCCCTTCCCGTCTGCTAACACTCATGGATCCCCTGCTGCCACTCAGTGTGCTCTCTAGGTGTCTCAGTGCCTACGCAGGTAGGTTTGTGTGCGTGTGTGTATTTCTGATTTTTACCTGAAGTTGAGATTTAAGTTGAATCCTATTTTTCGTTTCTGTCGAGCACATCTGTCTATTCCTTGTTATACATTACATAAACATATTGGTCAACCACCAGGTGACAGCTTTACTCTACTGGATGTATGATAAATTTTTATTGAAATAAGTTGTCAGGTGGGTAACAAACATTAAAAGATAAAAGGTCAAGTTTTCAGCTCAACACACAAACAACTCACACAAAAAAACCTAGAGTTACATCACTATATTCAGGAGGCCAACAACGGCAGGGAGAAATGAGTTCTTAAATCTGCATCTTGGCAGATTAAATCTGCAGCTAGAAGGAAGAAACCTGCACTGTTGAGTAGTGATATCCGATACCAAGTAATATTCAGGGTGGTATCGACGATACTGATCCGATACCGATACTTTGTACAAAAACTTATTTTATTTATTGTATCTCAAATTATAGCATAATAATGATTATAGGACATCGGATTACTTGTTCTTATCGCTTAATGCAGGGTTCATCATATAGAAATAAAAAACTGAAGTTGTGGCTATTTGAACACCTTGCCTGCCTGCAGCACTAAAGGACTCCGTGAGAAACGTCTGTCTCGTCCCTGTCCTCCTCTTCAGTTCGTCTCAACATACGCTCGTCATATTCTGTGATATGATTTACTCTGAGGTGTTTGACAAGGTTAGTGATGTTGCCACAACCATACATGCCAACCCTCCCGATTTTTCCGGGAGAATCCGGAATTTCAGTGCCCCTCCCGAAAATCTCCCGGCGCCACCATTCTCCCGAATTTCTCTGAATTTTCCACCTGGACAACAAAATTGAAAAACCATATTGCAGAATTCATAGCGCGGCCCAGCCAATTCCAGTCTCCAACAATGACGACAGCTACTTAGTTTTTATATTACTCTTATTTCTCTTTCTGGGTCGCAAAAAAAACGTTTAACATATTTTCAGGTGAGAATGTAGCTGTGTAAACTTCAAATATCTGAGCCGACCGACACATCGTTTTCAAACCCCCGTGGTCTTGCGCTACTCGGGTTAAACATGATATATAAGTCACTTTGATAACTTAAAAATGCTATTGTTTTGCTTTTTCAGTGTTTTATTTGTTCGTGGGTAAATCGATTTGGCTGAGATTAAAGTTATTCGATTAGATTAAATTAAATGTAACTTTATTAATCCATCGGGTGGGTTCCTCTGGGGTTTTCACACAGCTGAATAAACGTCAAACAGAAAACGATTAAAGAGAAGCGTGAAACGGTCGAGAGTTTACGTCAGCGCCCGGTTATATTTTAGATAGCAAGGAGCAGACGGCCGAGTTTCACTCCACGGAGGGAGCTCGTGACGTGCTACCCGGTTTTCTTTAGACCGCGAAGGCCGGGTCCTCAGGTGGAAGCAGCCTCTGAATTTGGACACCCCCGCTGTTTCCAGGCCGGCCAATAATAATGGTGACATTTAACGTATTTTATCCGATAAATAAACACTGTAAAATGTATTTATCACCCCCCACCCCCCCACCCCACCAGCCCTTTTGAATATCTCTAATTCTGAGGTCTCAAGGTTTGCAAGTATGGCCACAACACCTCACTCTTGGAGCACATTTTTGCCACATGTATCGCAAACTACGTCTCAGCTGTTTGTGGAGATAAAATAAGTCCGCACATGACTCCAATTACACTCAGCCATTGTTGTGAGTGCGCACGCCAGCGGTTGCGAGACATTAATACAGCTGTATTTCGCACATAACTATGAAAGGCAGAAGAGGAAGTAGTTCCTTTGAATGTAGATAATCCGAATGTTATAGTTTCTGTCCACTGTGTTCCTGTTAATGATAAACGACAAATTTACCCTAAATTACTAAAATGTCGATATTTTAATGTGAGAATCGATTCTAGAACATAAATGATTGGTATCGGAGGAATCGATATTTCAGGATCGATCCGCACATCACTACTGTTGAGCTTTCTTTGTAGCTCTGACTTTTGGAGAGCTTGTTCATATATGTGCCTGGAACTTGCATAATCTTGTATTTAATAAAAAAAAATTAAAAAAAAAATTAATAAACTAGTTATGTTTTTAATTTTCTAAAGTTATTTAATCCAAACTAAGAAGTGGAAAGGGTTAAGAGAAAAGAATATAAAAACATTATCATAAAACTTCTAACTTTTTAAAGAAAGTTAGCAATAATGAACCTTTGAACAATCTATACTGGCCCCTTTTTTTTGGGGGGGGGGGGGGTGTTAAAATATTATTCTATTCAGTTATTGACCTAAGATACTTGTACTGCTGAACAGCTTTAACAGCCTGGCCATAGAAATCTGTAGAAAGAATGTAGCAAGACTTTGTCCTAAAGTCTATTATCATGTCCTTGTAGTTAATCCAGTCAATAAATTTCTCCACCACTGGTCTATGGTTGGCTTTTTCATCACTGAGCAGTGACAGAATGACAAAATTATCAGTGAACTTGATATGTCTGCCCGCTCTGACAACCATTTATATATTAAAGACGGATAAAAATGGTGAAAGGACACAACCCTAGAGGGAACAGGTAAAAGCTAAAAACGCATCAGGAAAAAAATGAATGACTTTGTCATTTTTCAGACCTCTCTGTTCAAAAGTTAAACTGTCACCATGCTAATCCAAAGCCAATGCTGTGGATGCTGTTTAGACTGTGAAGAGTACAGCTAAAACCTGAGGAGAAAAACACAAATTAACAGTACTAATGTGAAAAAGCAAGAATTGAGGGCAAACACTTTTTTTTTTTTTCTTTTTTTTTTTCCCTTCCAAAATTGAAGATGTTGACTAATTTCACATATTTTACCCTTAGGATTGTTTTCCTTGTTTTTGGATATCATTGTTGATTGCATGTAATAAAAATCCACTTTTTAAAAAGGACAAACAGCAACAATCCTTTCTGATATTATAAGTAGGTAATGAGTCATACACGTGTGTGTGTGTGTGTGTGTGTGTGTGTATATATGTATAGGGTGGGCCATATATATGGATACACCGTAATAACATGGGAATGGTTGGTGATATTAAAGTCCTGTTTGTGGCACATTAGTATATGTGAGGGGGCAAACTCCTCAAGATGGGTGG